CTCTCTCTGTGTGTGTGTGTGTGTAAATTCATGGGGAAAGGATGTTAATGCTATCTTAAATAATGTTTAAAAATATAGAATGTGCTTTTGAGAAATGTTGGAGAACGACTAAGCAAATAATTTGTAGAAAATGGAAATGCATTATTATTACAGGCATTAAGGATTTGATTCAAGACATGTGTAATTTATTCATTCTCAAAAAAGCGGTTATTTCCCCCTGCAAAAATGGATGTAATATATTGCTTTGGCGCAGATTTCATGGTAGTATACCATCAAGTTTTTTCTGTTTTGATTTGAAATTTTCTTCTATTATTTAATATTTACTATGTAGGTGATATGCTCATATATTTCATTATCTTTTTTTCTATTTTCCTTGTTCTCTGTGTTACGTTTGTTTGTTCCCCTTATTTAGAGTTTGTTTATAGTTATCTGGCTTTCTGTTTTTTGTACCTATAATTTTAAAAACTTGAAACAAAAGAAAAGCAAATGCTAAAAATATGTTTCTGTTGTGATCTTACATGGTAGAACATGGGGATATCGATTTTTGATGGCATTGGCTGGAACTTCAGCTTCTGTTTTTGGCTGTTCCTTTCCAACTTCTTTCAGCTCCTGTACAATGCAAAAAGGGGGGAAATCCTTTGTAGTATAGTTCTCATATTCTCAATATTTTTCCCCATTTGTTTTGAGCCAAGCTTCAATCTGAAAAAAGCATCATTTCGATAACTTCAATTACACTTCCCATAAGCTAGCACGGCCAATATCCATGCTTCTAGGGATGATGGGAATTGCATTCCAAGGGATCTAAAAATGTAGAATGAATTTGGAAAGGCAGTTGTTAAGATATATTTGAAAGAAATATTTCTCATGGTACTGAAGCTGACCAATTGTAAAACAAAAAGGATCAAATGCAAGAAATAGATGCATTCACCCTTTTCCACAACCTCTGCTAAATGTTTAAAAATGTATGTTCTAGAGCTGGAAAATGAGTTTAAATTTAACCATTCTCTGCTATTTGATACTGTATCATAGAACATTTTCCTCACAATTATTACCACCTACAGAGAAGTAATTTACAGTACTCATTTAGGACAAAACTTGTTTGTGAAGGAATATTCTTGGTGAGCTGGTTTATAAAAAGCAAAGACTCCATCAGAGACGAACCACAATCCACCCTCCATAGCTCATATCTTGTAAACCACAAATTGCTGATATTCTTAAATAGTTACTCTTCTGGAGTCAACTTATTGCAATCTTCATCCCTGTATACTGTTTATAACAGAGAATATATTGATGGTTATAGGCTCCATGAAATACAGTGTTCTTTGGGGTGCAATTAATATTGTGGCAGAATTAGTGATTATTAAAGAAAGGACATTCCTTACAGATTAAATTACCAGCTATGAGAAGCAAGAAGAAAGGAGCTAGTGTACATAGATTAGGACATGCAGTAGCTTGTATTAATTATCTGGCTTGCCTGTAATTGACCAGCCTTCTCCAATNATCGGCTTTCTGTAGCCACGCTGTTTTAAAGTGCCCTTCTGTCGCTGCGCTGTTGTCGCCGCGGTGATGACGTTGCGGCTTTAGCGACGCGGTTTTGTCGCCGCTATTTTGACAAGCGCGGTTTTGTCGGGCCACGCTAGGGAAACACATAAATGCAAGTAGATAAATAGGTACCACTTTGATGGGAAGGTAACAGCACTCTGTGATGTCATACTGGCCACAAGGCCACAGAAACGTCTTCAGACAGCGCTGGCTCAATAGCCTTGAAATAGAGATGGACACCACCCCCTCTAGTGAGCAATAACTTAGTGGAGTAAAATCCGCAGGGGATTCCTTTATTCATATATTTATATCCTTATCGTTGCCAATATAAACTTAAACATAAAAATTCATAACTTGCCTTGAGGGTCTTCCTATTACAGTGTTTGCTAGACAATCAGTCTGTTTTTCCTGTTGAAGCAGTGTGATGTTCTCCCAGGAGTATAAAGTAGATTAAATCTGTTCTCATAGAGTATGTGTGATATCTCTCTCTCCTCACTCTGTTCAATGATATCACATCTGTTTCACTGGATTCTGTAGGCAGCTAGACCATGGTTCTGACAAATGTTTGTACATTAAAAGGAATCCTATGAATTATAAGCTTTAAAGGAAATGACGCTGATCTAAATATATTGAGAAAGATTCTCAGAAACAGGATTATAATTAAAGCTACATAGAAATGCAGCATAATTTTCTTTCAATACTAAAAACTCTGGGTAGTGCCAGTCATTTACCATGCTATGCTGATCAGACAGAATACTGTGAAGGGTTCAACCAAACTCACAGCCATAATGTAACCTGCAGAGCTGGCTGGAGAATTCTGGGAGTTGAAGTCAACAAGTCTTAAAGTTGCCAAGTTTGGGAACCATTGATGTAACCTATATGGATATAAAGTTCACAAGAGCCTCATTTCTTAACTATTTTTGGATGTAATTAATTTATAGTTAGATATTTCTAAGCAATAGATTAAGATTCCATTTGTTGAGTTATTATTTTTCATGGATTACAAAGGAATTTTAAAAAGTTTTAAAGACTTAAGAACTTTTGCCAAAAAGCTGAAGAAGTTGAGTAAGACAGTTTAAAACAGATAAAGGGGACAGTTATTTTGAAAGATTATTATTACTTAATTATTGATGAAAGAGTTTTTGAACAAATTGAAATGAAATTAGATAAATGAATTAGACTTTTGTGGAATAAATTTTATTATTAAAGAGTGTAAAAAATTGATGGATTTTTCAAAACAAAAGATCAGGGTAATATGAGCCAGATTGTGATGCTGACTATTGCTTGAGCAATTTGCAGAGAAAGGAATTACACCAGATTGGCTTCTACTTTTGTCCAAAGTTTTCATTTTAACGATTTGTTTTACATCTCTAGATACTTGTTTTACATAGCTTTCCATCTTAACTTCTTCCATCTTGTCTTTCATCTTTACAAATCTTTAGTCCGCTTTTTTTTAGCATCAAGTGATTGATTGAAATGAGGCAGACAGTGTATTACTGGGAAACCCATTGGTTGTATTCACCTTCCAGTCTCATTTTTGCATGTCAGAACAACATAGTAACAAGATTGAATAACAAAATGACTCCTTTTTAGTGGATAAACATGGTGAGTTATAGCTCCCCAAAGATATTGAACATTACTATAAGGCTTAGTTGAACTATTTTACAACTTAATCCCTGCCACCAAACCCCAAAAGTAATAAAAAACCAAAAAGCACAATCATTTTCAATTCTGTTCCACCACTTCACCATGTCACTAGCTGCATTCCTTGGGGCCCTCAGCAGCTGAATAAAGTATTAAATGTGAGACCTCTAGCTGTACAAAGTTTATTCATCCCTGGTCTAGAGCATGTAAAGCAAAGCTGTACCATTCAGAGTCCAGGAAGACAGTGACAAGAATATGAGACTAATATTGCAAAGTTTACAATCAAAGAGCAGAGTAACAGTACTGGGGACAGAAGGAAAAGAAATTTGTCAGTTCTAAGAAAACTGTGAGCTGAAGAATTAATCAGTAGACTAACAAATAATTTTAGAATTGGAAGTGATTCAGTGAACAGATGCTATTCTTCCTGACTCCAGCCAACAGAAGGTATCTTCACTTTCAGGAACAAGATTTTGCTACTCAAAGAGCTCCTGTGGTCTTTTGCTTCACAGGTGCTAACTGTTAGTATCTTGCTCAGAGTCTAAAGTAAAAATATTATTTTATGTTTCATAGTATTGAATAGTGATCCCTGTGAGAGTTCCTAATCCTCAGGTTGGAGATTTGAATGGTTTCTTGCAATTTATTTTTCTCAGACTGCAAGGTCTTGCCTTGACTGGTGGGAACTCCAGCCATGACAGTAAACAGTATATCTATTCCTTAATGGAGCAGCTGACAAATTAGGTATTTAATGGAAGCTTCCCAGAGCTACACTAAATGCTGGCCAATTTTGCTTGTCTCTGCTGTGATGTAGCCAAAATTATAGCTCATCCTGGCATGCTCTTTTCCATGGGGATAAATCATTGATGAATATGAAGTGAAAGTCTTAGCAGCCACTGCAGGATGGCTCACTGAAGTTATTGCAATCCATCAGATTCACTAATCACTCAGAATACTTTCTTCAGATTTCTGTGAAGAAGAACAAGCCTTGAATTTTGTGCTTGCCATTTGCTTTAGTTGAGTTTTTCGGGGAGCTACCTAAAGCACTCTGCCTGGATGCTGTTACCAAATGCAATAATTCTATTACCATTTCCCTTGTCAAATCTCATAGAATCTCTTGATAGTCAAGTTATTAATGAGGGGGAACTATGATTCAAGAGGATTAGAATAATGAGCCAACAGTTTCCTCTTTCTCTAAACCAGGGCTGTCAAACTCCTGCTCCGCAGGCCTGATGCATCATGCGCTGGCCATACCCATGCCCAGTTTAATGAAGGGGGAAAAAGTTCAAATACATCACGTGATTCTGCCATGACGATGTGAGTTTGACACCCCTGTTCTAAAGGAAGATGTTTGTTCAAGCCCATATTACGAGAACACCTGTTTTTCTTTCATTTGATTTCTTTGAAGACAAAGACATACTTGATTTCTGGTGACTATGTGACTATAACCATGTAGCTTTCAAAGCAACAAAACAGAATGGTTTATCATTGCCACCTTTCAGGATATTTTTCAGTATCCCAGACTACCTTACATCTTATATGTTAGGAATATAATTCTAACGGTTGGGTTGGCAATATATAAATCATGTAACAANAGATTTGAACAGCCGAACTGCTGAACTGCAGTCAGCCTGCAGTGCTACATTTAACCACTGCGCCACCTCAGCTCTTCGGCACAATTCAAGGTCTATGCTAAAGGAGGACTTTAGTAGTAATAACTATGGCAACAATAAAATTAAGAAGCGTAAGCTATTGCGATATTGTTCTGTGGTGATGAAGGCCATATCCACTTAAAAATTTCATTATATCTGTTTGTATTCTATGCAGAACAATTCTACATTATCACATAGCACGATGCTCAGCTTTGCTATCGGGTCAGCAAACATTCATAAGCTTCCCAGCTGAACTTATATAATCTATTGGTACATGACAAGCACCTTTATGCCATAGGTATACTTTGATGTACATAATTGTACAGTTATGGGCAGGAGTAAACAATATTTTCTGAAAAAACATTGTCTTCAAATTACAAAATATATGGGACACTACATAATTGGGATTTGAATTCTTATTACTTTGTGAATAGCCAAACTAGTGTCCTCCAGATGTTTTGAACAATTCTTTATAAGTTATGAGGTCCAATGGTAATTGAAGGCCAAAACATCTCAGGAGAATCAAATTACGTATCCTTATTATAGCTGGGTAACATCTGCTAGCACAGTTCTTGATTTGTGGCAGTGAAACTCCCGATATTGAAGGTGAAATGTTCTACTAACATTATCCATTTATATTTATATTGAAATAATATTTCGTAAGGATTTTTTAATGCCGTCCTTTGAAAATCTTTAAATTAATTAATGTTCCATATCTCAGCAAGAGCTAAAAGCTAAAGCACTGGGCTGAAAAATAGGATCATTAAACCTGAGCTGGAAAAAAAAAATTGGATGACAACTAAATTGCAACAAAGAGATAGAAACTTTGCTGCCACATAGTACTTTTCTAAGAGTCTTCAAGGTTACTAGAAGTAGTGTAATCAATAAGCAATAAGTACTACTAATCTTCTAGATTACTGCCATGGGCAGCCCAGATCTGCAGAATCACCTTTATTATTACAAATTATTAGCCAATAGTAAGTGTAAAATATCCATTCACTCAATGGGACTTTCACCTCTTCTAAAAAAATGGACAAACCTACTCTAGAAAATCCTCATGTCCTTTCTGAGAAACTCCAATTTGGTGGAGTGTAGGAAGTTAAAGGAAGGAAAAAATAATCTGTTCATTGGTGATGGGTTTCCCCAGTGCTATCATCATGATATTTTGACGGGATGGTAGGGAGGAGTGATGCTGAAAATTTGATCTCAATATTGAACCCATGCTTGGATAGAATTATTGAAAATCTGGTATCAGTACTGAATCTGGAGGAAATGTTTGGGTTCTGTAATCTCCACTATTTGAAATGGGACTTTATGCCATGCAAATGTCTGCTTGAAGAGAAAAAAGGAATAAAGTAAATCCCTCTTTCCATCTGGCACTTCGTTTCTGCATACAAATGGAAAACGTGCAGACAGTTTCACAGGTTCAAGACATTTACCTAGACTTCCTTACGCCGATACAAGCACAATGCACTAATGTAGCTGATCCAGTCACAGGGGCAAACTTTTTATACCTACTGCCCACTTTTGTATCTCTGTTAGTAGTAAAATTTTCTGACCGCCCACCCAGTTCCAAAGTAATGGTTCCAAGTTTCCAAGTTTAATGAAATTTGTACGCCGCCCACTCCCATCGGGACTCTGGGCGGCTCACAACAAGACAAAGAAACAATTAAAATTTAAGAATAGAAAATACAATATTAAAATTGCACATCATCCATTCCATCTAAGCGGGGCTGGATAGCAATCAACAGCCCCAGGCCTGCCGGAACAGCCAGGTCTTGACGGCTTTACGGAAGGCCGGGAGAGTGGGTAGGGTCCGGATCTCTACGGGTAGATCGTTCCACAGGGCCGACGCAGCAATAGCAATAGCAATAGCAGTTAGACTTATATACCGCTTCATAGGGCTTTCAGCCCTCTCTAAGCGGTTTACAGAGTCAGCATGTTGCCCCCAACAACAATCTGGGTCCTCATTTTACCCACCTCGGAAGGATGGAAGGCTGAGTCAACCTTGAGCCAGTGAGATTTGAACCATTGAACTGCTGAACTAGCAGTCAGTTGAAGTGGCCTGAAGTACTGCACTTTACCCACTGCGCCACCTCCCCTGGAGAGCCGCCAACCGGCATTGGTGATTTATAAAGTAGGGAAGTAACTTTACTTTATAAAATTTACAAAGCAGAGTTACAGCAAACCGCCCACCGCCCACCATGAAAGCTGGAATGCCCAGTAGTGGGCGGTAGGGACCAGGTTGACTACCACTGGGCAAGACAGAAGAATGGTTCTCCCCCCGCCCCTCTTACCACTGCTGTCCTCTTTCTAGCCATTTAACAACTGTTTCTTTCAGGAGGGGTCTGGTCAAAGTGATCTGAGCTGTTTTCCTTTGTGTTTTGTGCAGGTGTGAAGGGACAGCTAAGAGAATGAAGACTCTAAGTCCCCAGCGGAAGCATGATATGGCGATGCAGTGCTGGTGCTGAATTGTTCTCTCTGATGGCTCTATGGGAGTGGATAGCCCTGAGTCTTCATTGCTGGGTTCTAGCGGTTGCTGCTGGTTCGGATCAGCATGCCACAAGCCCTTTCGACTGGCTTCTCTCTGATAAGGGACCCTTCCATCGCTCCCCGGAATACACAGATTTTGTGGACAGAAGCCGACAGGGATTTAGCACGAGATACAAGATTTACAGGTATGAAGCATTCGGGATCACAACGGCAGTGTGAAGCTTTGGGAAAGCTATATCTAAGTAGCACATCACCTCTTGAAGGAACAGGGAGAGAGAAACATGAATATAAAAAGTTGGTGGGTAGGTCTGGGGTCATTCTAAAATTCTACGCCAAGATTCTATCCAGAACTGGGGCCTCTGGAGAACTAGAGTGATGGTGGATTAAGAGGTTGAGTGAAGACGTTGTTGAAGTTGATCACAAATGTTGACTGTGTTTCATCATGTATTGCTGAAAAAAGTTAATTTTAATTCCTAATCTACTTTTGATTTATATTTCTTATTTTTTTTTTGCATGTACTTACTTTCCCAGAAAATGCATGATGCTAGAGAAAAACCATATTTCAAAAGTGGAGGACATGTCCACTCTTAACTCCCTGATGTCTCTGAGATAGCCACATTCCTGTTGGTATCAGTGGAGGCTTTCCCTGAATTGCAAATAGGCTTTTTTAGAATTGTTTTTAAACATTAAAAATAGTTTCTTTAGAGAAACATCCTCTGATTGGAACACCAGGGATGTAAACTTCCCTATCCTCTTTCCATAGTATTTTTGCTAAATAATAATTAGAAATAAAATTCAAAGCTTTCATACCATATCTAGTTTCTTTGCTTTCAGAATTACCAAAGCTTGTTAAGAATCTGTCAGAATTGTCTGTCAGAAGAAACTATCCTTTCTGAGCATGGTTTCTTTGAAATATGTAAGATTACTACCCCTATCGTCTTCTGTCTAAAGTTCACCCCAAACACGTGGAGTATGATGCATTAATTATCCTAGGATACTCTATTGTGTGGTAATTTATTAATAGCATCAAGAAAACATTTCAGTACTTAAATAGCTTCCAGTTTAATTTGATTTAAGTGAGGCAATAATAACGGAGTTGCCACTTAAACAGAAGTCAGTCCCAGGTTTAAAGGTCTGCACCATTGGTGTAATTCAATTTTTTCCCCCCTACCGGTTCTGTGGATGTGGTTTAGTAGGCATGGCAGGGAAGGATACGGCAAAATCTCCATTCCCTCCCCATTCCAGGGGAAGGATACTGCAAAATCCCCACTCCCTCCTGACTCCTGGGGCCAGTCAGAGGTGGTATTTGCCAGTTCTCCAAACTACTCAAAATTTCCGCTACCGGAACCTGTCAGAACCTGCTGAATTTCATCCCTGGTCTGCATCGTGTAGCTTAATTGGTTGACTGCAAATTGGGTAGAAAGTGTGGTGGCTGCATTATGGGTAAAGATCACTTGTTATATGCTAGTCTTTTACATCACCTGTTAAAGCAGGTATTTGGGGGATGGAAAATAATTTTAGGCATAATAATACATATTCAATGTGAACATTATTAATGTCATTGCTCCGTGCTGGGACGATGACAGTTTGCACACTGAAAATGTTGGTAGATATTAGAAATAAGTGTTATGGATTTCCTGCTTGTTTCTGAAATGTTGCTTATATGGAAAAGAGGAAAATAATAAAACTGCACCAATGGGATAAAATACAAAATATAGTTTTAATTTTTGATGAAAGCCGGTATTGTAACTCTTTAGAATCTTTTTTTTAAAAAAATAGATTGATTATGAAAGAAACTGTTTGACTGATATTTTCTTGGCTTCTTCGTGGTCTTGAAGTCATTTGAACAGGTGGCCATTCATTTGCTGTGAATTGTTTTGTTGTTGAATGTTTCCAGCGTTTTGCTCATAAGAAGTGGGAGAAAAATCGGTACGTCAGTGCTATCTATGTTCACATGCAAATCATAGCCTCTCCTTAAATATATACTTGGCAAGAGGATTGTTGATTGTTTTTATGTTCTAAAGATTTATATTCCTTTGCTTTTCCTTTTTTTTAATGCACCAGAGGGCAGTGTGTTGCAGGTCAATTCTGTTTTAGAGTCTTTTGTGGTAGAGAGAAACATTATGTAGTCTACCTTGAACATGGTTCTAAAATATGCATTTGAGACATATGGGGAGCAATCAATATATTGTATCTTATTGTATTTTTTATTTATTATATTTTAAAATCAAGTTGTCAATGATATAAGGGAGGGGAGAGAGCCATCAGAACAACATGCATACAGATTAATTGAGCATATTGGTTTTGGTTTTACAATGGTCAACAAAAGGCAACAAAATATAATACAGGAGTACGGATTTTATCACTTCTGCTTTCAGTACATAACAGGCATTGGTGTAGTGATATGGGTATGCAAATACAGAAATATCCTTCATGTACAATGTGTGCCTTTTCAAATCTGACTTTACTATAACCTCTTCTTGTAATGTGCTCAGCAGAATAAGTAGGGATTGACCTTTTAAATTAAATGAAATGTTTGCCACAAAGAATGGCTTCCATAAATCTAAAATTGATTCACTTCTTCTGTTTATTGTGAATTTTGCTGAAGTACCATTCGTAGGATTAAATGTAAGAAAATAGCAAAGTCATCATGTCCATCATGTTTGATGTGGCTATAAAAATGACCAAGAATTTCATTCAGTTTGCATTTTGATATTCACTTATCAAATATGCCCTTCCCAAGTTCTTAAATGCAAGTAATTTTGGTGTGGAATTCTCCAAGTAAGAGTAACAAATATTTACTTATAGGGGGAAAAATATATGTAATTGTTACTTTCTAAGGTTAAAAAAAGTTGTATCGGAAACAAAATGGTGTGTATTTATTAGAAAAAAATAGGAATTTTTCACTATTTAAAAAGTAATAAAATGATAAAGATATAAAATGTAAAACAAGAAATATGAAATATTGATAGAAATTGAAACTGACATTTTCCAGATTAGAAAGTTAGTCTTGAGAGAGACAAACAAAGGAATAGAGTTTCTTCAGGGACATCATCATTAAAATTTGCCTTTTGGACTCATGATAATCTTCTGCATGATAATCTCCAAATTTACATAATTTCAAAGTAACTAGGGGGAATACTCCAAATATATTATAACTCCCTGGTCCCTGCTACATACTTCTAATAAATATGAGTGATAAATTGTAGATGAACTATATCAATCAACACCTTACCATTCTTAGTTGATTTCTTGGGAACGGAGGTTCATTACAATTTGCTGAGTCTTAATTTCTCTACTGCTGACAGAAATATAACATTCCAGAGCCATCTATTTTGAAACAACATAATTTGCCCCAATATTGTATATGCCAACTTATTTCTAAAGTCTTCCTAACCTTATACCTACTTATAGCCACTTACATTTAAATAAGGCCACGGACGCAAATACACAAATGGGAGGAAATACATGGGGAAGTGATGAGCCGAGGTGGCACAGTGGTTAGAGTGCAGCACTGCAGGCTACTTCAGCTGACTGCAGTTCTGCAGTTCGGCTGTTCAAATCTCACCAGGCTCAGGGTTGACTCAGCCTTCCATCCTTCCGAGGTGGGTAAAATGAGGACCCGGATTGTTGTTGGGGGCAATACGCTGACTCTGTAAACCGTTTAGAGAGGGCTGAAAGCCCTATGAAGCGGTATATAAGTCTAACTGAAAAAAAAAGTGATGTGATGGACTACAACGAAGCAGTAGTTTCCCAGGAAGAAGGACCACATTTCATGGTGGGGAGGGAGTTGAAAGAAGAGACAACACAATTCAGAGCTGATTTGAAGACAGAGTTAGGAGAGCTGCTCCCTAGAATCTCCCTGGCTATATACTTTAGGGTGAGAGTAGTATTGGTTTAGCTGGGCAATCGTGATGCTATCTAATGCATAATAAATTACAAAGCATAATAAAGATTTTAAATATATAGATATAATTAATATGGGAACCTGAGGAGACCCTTGGTTCATCAACAAACACTTGATATTAATATAGAGTGACAGTTTTATTGTGAGGATAAAACAAGCACCAATCCTTTGTAGAAGAACCGCCCAACTAAAAAAATTAAACTGTAATTGTGACACAATGATTCTACAAGGAACAATCAATTTAAAACCACAGGAACAAGAATCTGTCACTCTGAAAAATGTTCAGACTATAATAGTGACTAAAATGAAGCCTCAGGACCACAAAACAAAAGTAAAATGCTTAGACATAGATTACACAAGAAAGGAGGAATACACAATGACAAGGTAAAGCCTCCAGCATGTGAACAGAATAATAAAGGCATCCATGCAAACATTCATATACACAGTAAAGGCCATGCAGATCTTTAAAGGGGTAGCAGCAAATAATGTATTTACTTATTTTAAGTTGGAATAAGGTATTTTCTGCCTTAATTAATCGGATCTTCTTTCTAGACTCTTTGATGGGCAAGCTAGAAATTGATGTGTTCTCTTTTCCCTGTCCTATTTATCTCTACTTTAATACTCTGGTTTCCCTTCAGATCATATAAATCTATTTTAAGAGCAATGCAGAGGACATAATAAAAACATCAATTTAATTAATCCCTTGAAACAAACTGACTCAAACTCCTCAGGGCTAATGTCCCTTAATGGCTAGATCACAAATTATACTATGTGACTAGTGAGTAGAAAGGGAGCATACAACTCACTTTGGCATAACTTGGCCAAAAATCATACTAATCTCATATATTAGAATTAGGAATCTGAATTCTTTCCTACCAACAGAACAAAAAAAATTCTACCAAATTTTATGATGCTTGTTGAAAAGAAACAGGTCTGTTTGTTTCTCTGTCTCTGCCTTTGTCTGTCTGCCTGCCTGCCTGCCTGCCTGCCTGCCTGCCTGCCCGCCCGCCCATCCATCCATCCATCCATCCATCCATCCATCCATCCATCCATCCATCCATC